AAATGTTTCGTGATCGGGATAGAGTGAGAAAAAAGTTTTGAAGAGCAGAGTTGTTAACATTTTTGACTAACATTTCATGCATTGCGATTTTAATTTATTTAACATGGCTTAAAACTAAGCAAATATGGGACAAGCCGATGATTGATAACGTGTGAAATAAAATTTCATGTGTCGTTTTTTTTCTTCATTTAACGTGGCTTAAATTGAAACTCATATAGAATGAATTGACAACTGATGTGTAATTGATAAATTAATATAAAACAGCGGCTACTGGAAAACATTACAAAAAGGTCACCCACATCACCACTCCCTGTCCAAGGAAGGCGATGGGTGGGTTGGCTGAAATGGAGATGAAGAGCTTACAAACGAGCAATGCACATACAACTAGCAGGCACGCATACGTTATATTAAAAACTTTTTATTATACAAACATATATACGCTTGTGTATATATATATATATATATATATATATATGATGGTGTTGGTGTTTAGCGATTTACATGTTAATGATGGCGATAGTGATGAGGATCGTGGTGATGGTTGTGGTGATGAGGATGTTTGGTGGTGGTGGTGCTGATGGTGATGACTTTTGTTTATAATGACAATTTTCTTTTGTATTTTTTTAATTATTGTAAAAACTGGTAATAATTAAGAGGTTTTTTTTTTGTAGTGATTTAGACTTCTTGGTACCTTAAACAAATCAAAACTTAGATTTACCATTGAAAGTGAAAAGGAACAACGTTAACCTTTCCTCGATGTGTTGGGTTGGTCACCCGTGGCGAAGAACGATTCAAAACCGCAGTCTATGTCAAAGAAACGAATACAGGAATTTGTTTGAATGGACAAAGTGGATGCACTGAACAATTTAAAGACAGCACAATAAAATCATTTGTGAACCGGGCATTCACACACTCTTCCGATATTGAAAATCGCGACGCTGAATTAAAGAGGGTCACTAACCTGCTTGTAAACAATGGATATAAGACTTACTCTATTGAAAAGATTGTTAAAGGCAAATTACTACACAGCAATAACCTTCCAAGTACCAACAATCAAGATAACGACATTATCTGTATTACAGAAATCACATGTCAACAGCATACAAGGTAGATGAAGCTCTTCTTAAACATATCATCAATAAAAATGTCACATCAACCAACCCAAATAGTAAAGTTAAACTCCGAATTTATTACAATAATAAATTAGACCTATCACCTAATACTGAAAAACAACTGCAGTCCTAGAGATAACTCTGAGTTAAAGCGTAATCACGTAATATATGAATTTAATTGCCCCTTTGACGGCTGTGCACGTCAACATGACTCATATATCGGGATTACTACTACCTCACTGACAAGAAGGCTTACGATGCATAAACAGAGTGGTGCTATCAAATCTCATTTGGACTCAACACACTCAATCACAATTAGCCGTGAAATCCTCGACAGCAACACCAAAGTAATATACCAGAACAGCAACTACACGCATCTTAAAATTGCAGAAGCAGTCCTAATTGACATCAATAAACCAAAAATAAATATACAACAAAAATGACAACCTCACTTCCAACCCGGGGCTTAACCAACAACGAAAACAAAGAAGTAATAAAAACTAGCATCGTAAATAGTGACAAAGAAGAATATGATGCTATCCATGTAGAAAAGGAGACCAAAGAAGATGACCAGCCAATAAAGAAACCTGACACCTAATTCGCATCAAAGTTCAATTTTACAACACCAAAGTTAATTTTTACAACGTCAAAGTTCATCTTGACAAAGTCAATATTTCCCTATATATACAGCAAGGAGCACTGATGATGATTCATTCGGAATCGAAATATGGCCTTATTTGCAGCATGAATTCGAAAAATAAGTTTATTTTGAATTTTAATAAACTAAACGTTCACCAAAAAACTTTAGTGAGAAAAATCGAAAAAACGAACTACAAACATATTAACGCCAAACATTCGGTAGAATTTATAGAATATTGTAAAAATTATGGTCTATTACCAACATATATATATATATATATATATATATATATATATATATATATATATAGTTAATTAGTAATTATTTGAAAATAAGATTGAAATGAGTTAAATTTTTTGGTTTGACGACGTTGATAATAACGAATGCAGATGAACTTGCACTGATCACCTTACTAATTGTGCATTGTTGTTTCAAGGTTTTAAATTAAATTTGAAAAAAAAACAAAAATGAATGATACTACGCGCTAAACGAAAAATAACGGTTAAAGTGCAGTTTTGTCGGTTAAATTTAAATATAATTGCACAAAATGTGTCCTTCATAGTGTGATTTAAACAGTTTGTAGACCATGCTTTGTTATCAAATTACCACCTCATTCCACAGTTTGACTCTTATCACAGCCTGATTTGACTGCTCCAATCTCCACAAATATTGTTTTTAACATTCGACCAATGTGGATTCCTCAATGTTTCAGTGACACGATTAAACTCAGCGTCCCCAACATCAACTTTGCGGCTCTATTTTGACCAGATTGAAGAATCGATATTGATTTGTTAGGGAGAGCGTAGAAGAGACTGTTGCGATAATCCAGTTGTGCATGAATGAATGAATGCATGTACCGTGGTACGAGTAGTAGAATCGTCAAGATATTTGCGAATGCGATGCGATCTTTGCAGTTCATACGAACATAATGACGAAAGCATTCCTATGTGATAATTCATTGACAATTTTGAGTCTTATATAACACCCAGTAGGTAGGTTAATAGCACGTTCACAAAATTAAAAATTCTGGTCATTAACATACACTGAATTTACGCTACTCTTAACCAATTGCTTTTTTGCCAGTTTGCAAGTTGCGACTGACAAAAATGATTTTTTGCATCAATTCAATTTTAACTTTGTCACGCACACATCAACATCCGACGAACGTGCAACCAATTTAGGAAGTTCATTTAGTAATAATCCTGGTTTGCTCGTTTGCTAACCCCAACCAAATGACTCAATGATTTTTATAACTTCTGAAGTACAATAGTATAATGATATCTGGTCACCAAACCGAACCCTGCCGAGCACCAAATGAAATTGTACCCACATCAAACATTGTGTTGTTAAAAAGATGAATTGCTGACCACGCAGTCTTCGTTGAGGCGAGAAAAAATAAAACTAATTGGCATGAGTGTTTTTATTTTTGAAATAAAATAATTAATAATGAATTTTTATTATGTTGGAGTGAATGAATGCGTGATGCAATGGTTGAACCGCAGAGAGAGATAACTGATGAATGGTGGGATGATTTTAAAAAAAACATTGTGTTAGACGGCCAGGCTTTGTTCAGATAAGCTAAAACTTATTCTACATACTTTTCATAAGCACTTAACCACAAACATCAAATTTTGATTTGGTATGTCTTACTCCCAACCAATTTATTTTCGTATATTGGAAATTGGCTGATGAAGCAGCTTTGTCAACTTTTCCATTTTCTTTTACGCTCACAAGACTTAGTATCCAGATAATAAATAAATTTGTTATCTTTATTTAAGGTTTGCATTTGAAATAACAAAAAATTATCCTGTTAATATTTCTGTAGCCATCGTTTATATAGAATAAAACAAAGCGGCAGTGATTAGAGCAACTTTTGAGCTTAACGCTAGAAAATCGTTGTTGAGTTTTCTAGATTTATTATATTATCGCTCGAGGCTGCTTCTCGCTTCTCGTGCCTACTAATTTTCCCCGTTCCTTGTTAGATTGTTTGGTTTTGGCTACAGAAATGGTACGTGTGTTACAATTAGATCAATATATGTAATTATGTATTTAAATTGATATAAGTTGCTACGATCTGATTCACCGAGTTTTCACTTTTTAACTTGTGTTCTTTCTTTCTGCCTGTCACTGTCAGTCTGTGCTCTTTTCCTTTCTTATTATAAATTAAATATATTATATAATACATTTTATCTCCCATCATTATGTTTATGTCGTTGTTTTTATAGTGGAAACAAGTGTGCATTTTATTTTAAACTGCTTGATTGAGAATTTCTTGTTGATAAAATAAAATGCTTTAAATTAAAACTTAAAAGTAAATTTTACTTTTAATTTAATTTAATGTTAATTTTACTTAGTAAAACCATTCATCTTCATCCTCCATATGATATCTTGAATAAATTTAATTTGTGTTGCTAAGTTATTGAATAAATATTAAAATAAAATGTGTTTTCAACATCAAAAATATCAAGTCCAAGTGATTAGTCATGATCATTATTGTCAAAGTCACTTTAATCTAATTACTGAATGTGTATTTATTGGGAAAAAAATCAACACCTAAATCTTCTTAAACAGATTATAATCAACTAATTTCTTTGAAACAAAGACATGTACACCTTGAGAGTCAGTCTTGTTTAATCTTCCATATTTCATTGTTTAACTAAGTGAAGCATGACAGCAAGTGAGCAGACAAGCATTTGTTCTGCATTTATTTATATGCTGTCTACTGAAATCACTGAATTTTATTAAGGACTGCTATGAAGCTAACATCTCTGTCACTATATAAATAAGTTTTTTCACAATATTTGCTAACTTGGCATAAATAACAAGGTAATCAATAACAATAATGCAGTGATGGAGACGAGGAATACGGTGAACTACAGGTAAGAGTAGTCAAAGTTTGGTAGCTGTTAGACTTGAGTACACATTTTTACCTTTATTTCTGCTTGACTTATTTTAATTTATCTACTCAGAATTTTCTTATACAATTATTTTCATAACTTTACCAACTAATCAAACGTTAAAGAGTTATAGAAAATTTAAGGTGACATTACAAAGAATTCTCTCTTCTATATATCACACGTCTGAGAATTATGTTTAAATTTATATTAACAATTAATCCTTTGAGAAACAAGTAGTCATCAAAGTAATTTTTAGCTTTGCTCATAAAAAATAAATGGAAGAAGTCTTGTTATAGCAGGCATTCACAAATTTAATTAAAGGTAAAAAAAATTATCATCTTATTTTCACAGGCATTGTCTTTAAATCCAGTGCAGTTGTTGAAGGCTGGAGCCGAAGAAGAGAAGTCTGAGAATGCTAGAATGGTAATGATTACTACAAAGTTTTATTTCATATAAGTATGTATCTTAATTATTGTTAACACGTTCCTATTGGCAAGTGTTTAATCTGCTTTTTTTTAAATTTTTCAGTCATCTTTCATTGGGGCCATAGCCATTGGAGATCTCATCAAATCAACACTTGGCCCAAAGGGAATGGTAGTGATAAATTTAATCTTTTGAATGATTGACTATCATTAATAATTGCATGCAGTGTAACATTTATTTTATTAAATAACATCAGGACAAAATATTGCAATCAGCTGGTCGAAATGAAGGTATCCAGGTAACGAATGATGGTGCCACTATTCTCAAATCAATCGGAGTTGATAATCCTGCTGGAAAAGTTCTAGTCGGTCTGTGGTTTTTATTAATTTTTATTTTATCTTTTTTTTTTCAATTTTCATAATGTTATGTTCAAATGGAAAAATAACATGAATTTAAAAAGCACACTATTTGATTTTCATGAAAGATATTTCCAAAGTGCAAGATGATGAAGTCGGTGATGGCACAACATCGGTTGTTGTGCTGGCTTGCGAACTATTGAAGGTCAGAAATTATTTCTGATACATTATGTTTTCAGAATTTTTATAAGTATTACATTGTTGGAAAGAACCTAATTTCAAGCCATTGATTTTTTAAATGTTTTAGAAAATCCTGTGAATATATTTTAAGATTTGTAGTAAGTTACCTGGCATAAATACTTTTACCCCGAAATCACCAAAAATATCAATCCACTGTCTTGCGATTCATCATTTGATTAAATCAACAATAAATTAGCTAGTTATCATATTATCTTCCTGTTGATTATTCTGCCTAGGAGGCTGACCAGTTGATAGCCCAGAAGATTCACCCACAGACGATTGTGTCCGGATGGAGGAAGGCAACAGCAGAGGCCAGGAAAGCTTTAATGGAATCTGCATTGGATCATGGGTTGGTTTGTTGGATCACCGTTCTTTTTCTCTGATTGTGTGTCTCTTGCATTAGAATATTTATATTAAATTTATATAAAATTATTTTATTAAATATTTTATTATAAAATATTTTATTAAATTTAAGCATTGTTATGAATACTTGAGGATTTTATGTGGACAAACAGTTTATATAAAATCATTTGAAATCTTTCATTAGTTTTCAATTTCTATTATTTTTACTTGTTTTCAATTAATGCACCTCAAAATTCTGACTCAAGATCTGATCCTGTTAAGTTCAGAGAAGACCTGATGAACATAGCTAGGACCACATTAAGTTCCAAGATACTCACTCAGTACAAAGATCACTTTGCAAATCTAGCAGTTGATGCCGTGCTTAGACTAAAGGTTCATTTCAATGAAATTTCAGTTTTTGATGTTTAAATATGGTGAATGTTAAATATTTGTGTGTTTCTATAAGTTTCTGTTCCCATTGTGTTTCATTCTCTTTCACACCTGACAGGGGAAACCAAACTTGGATGCAATTCAAATCATCAAAAAGCTTGGTGGCGGTTTGAGAGACTCATTTCTTGATGAAGGTTAATAATCTTGAGATGTGTTTATTGTTTATCGTTCATTGTTGTGTCCAATTTTTCGATCTCTTGTTTTTATTTTCATATTTATAAATGAGTTGTTACCACAATTTTTTTTAACTGCAAATCACTTTTTTTTACATGAATTTGTTGTTATTTTTCAATTTTCTAGACATTGTTTGCATTTTTCACCAATATATTCATTACCAGGTTTTCTGTTGGATAAGAAGGTGGGCATCAACCAACCAAAAAGAGTGGAGAATGCCAGAATATTGATTGCCAACACACCCATGGATGCTGACAAAATTAAGGTGCTTGCATGTCTTTTAAACGTTTTAAACAGTTCTCAACATGAAAAATTTTAAAGAATATGCATTTAAAAATAATACAATGAGATTTTTGAACAAGTTAATGCTCAGTATATTGATAATTTAAACAACTTCTTGTGTTACTTGTGGCTAAGAGGCAAATATATTTCCAATAAATTTGTTATCCTGTTATCCTGAGTTTATTAGTTAAAAAAAATCTGTGAATTGGTGCGTAAATTGATTGACAATCTGCAAATCTCATGACAGGTGTATGCTGCTCGTGTGAGAGTCGATGGTGTGTCAAAGGTGGCTGAGCTGGAATTGGCGGAAAAGGAGAAGATGAAGGCCAAGGTCAACAAGATATTGAAGCACGACATCAATGTCTTTATCAACAGGTCATTCATATTCATCATAATTGATTTGTAATCAGTTTTTTTTTGTTCATAATGTTTTAAGCTTTCTGTAATGAATCATTTTTTAATGTGATATTTAACTTATTTAATCCTGCATTATTTACTTTGTCTTTTTATTTTATTTTTTTTGAAAGATTTTACATAAGCCTTATTGAATATTATTTTTTATTGGTTTTATACATGTTTTATTGCCTGTTTTCATATTTTGCTTTCGTTGTTTTTTGTTTTTTATATGTGTTTAAAACTTAATTCCTATCCTTGGATTCGATCACTTGTTACTTAGGGTACACACACTAGTTAAGAGTTGCACTTTTTTGTGTATCCTTTTCATGTTGCTAAATTTACATTTAGTTTACATGAATAAATGAATGAATAAATAACCTGCTTGTGTATTTTGTTCTATACTTTATCTTTTAATGATTAAATATTATGATAAATATTTAGGCAATTGATATATAACTACCCTGAACAATTGTTTGCTGATGCTGGGGTCATGGCAATCGAACATGCAGACTTTGAAGGCGTTGAGAGATTAGCTCTGGTTACTGGTGAGTATTGTAAATGTTATTCACTGTCTCTCTCTGTTTGTTGTGCTCACATGTGGTTTCCATCTTTTTTATTCATTTGTTTAAGTAGAATTTTGCATAATATTTTTGCCTGATGCAATTTAAATACTTGAACACATCATGAAGTTTAGAATTAATAAAAATTAAAAATGAAAAGGTATAAATTGACCCAACCTATGTAGTCATTATAGCAAGTTGGCTAATAGAATAAATGCATTCTTTACTTTTTTGGCGGCCAAGTTGAAGAGCGCATTATTATTTTAATAAAACTAAAAAGAACAAGACAAATTAAAAAATTTCATTTTTAATATTATTTTTTTATTTTAATTTTAATAAATTGTCTAATGAATTGTGTATTTCATGTTCATGCACTGTTGCATTTAGATTACTTACATTTATTTAAAGCAAGAATATAACTGTAATATTGTAGGTATCAAGTCAAATGCAGTAGATAAAGTGGAAGTATTAATGTAGGAAGATATTGGAGGTCTCTTGTATCATCAATGGGTCATAGATCATATATTGTGGCGTTGCTTATCAACTTAATGCCTTATTATTATTGCCATAAATGAAAATTTAATTGAAATGTATCTCGCTTTCTATCAGGTGGTGAAATTGTTTCGACATTCGACATGCCTGAATTGGTTAAATTGGGTCGATGTGACCTGATCGAGGAAGTCATCATCGGAGAAGATAAACTAATTAAATTTTCGGGTTGGTTTATTTCACCTGTTCTTTCGGTTATTATTATATTGTTATTACACATTCAGAGCTTTTTTTTTAAATTTATCTCATGTTAATTGGACTGATCAAAAAGATTATGCTCCGGCACTTTGGGAATGAAAGACTGGCGTTCAGACTAGATTTTATACAAATGCAGGGAGTTAAGGAAATAGGTACGTTAAGATTTTACCTCCAGCTCAAAATAGAAACTGGGAAAAAGCAAAGAAGTCACTAGTCTGAATTTGTTTCGTTCTCACTCTTCCAGTTTTTCCCTTCAGTTTTGTTAAATGTATGTTGGTACTCTATTTTAAAAACCGCATTAGAATGGTTTACATAAGGATATTAATAGAAACCATTTTATTTAAAGCTTTTCCCAAATATTGGAATGAGAATATCAATTTTGTTGTAAATCTGAATAATGATAAAACCATGTTTTTCCAAGTTTTGGGGACTAGATCTGAATGTAGAGATCATGCAATTTACAAGACATTGTTTTTGGGGAGCTAAATTCAAGTGCCCCCAACACTTTTTTCATTAAGATAAGAAAATGATATATATTAATTATTGTTATACCTATTTAAACTGTAGATTACTTAATAGTAGAGGAAAAATGATGATGAGTAATGTTTAAAAACACGTATTTCAGGAGTAGCAATGGGAGAGGCATGCACTATTGTATTGAGAGGGGCGACTCAACAGATACTTGATGAGGCTGAACGATCGTTGCACGATGCTTTGTGTGTCATGTCTCAAACTGTTCAAGAGACGAGGACCGTATGCGGTGGAGGTTAGTACCTTAATGTTCCTTTCGTCCTTCATCTATTTAAAAAATTAGTCCATTCGTTCAAAATTGTATTTTTTTTGTGTATAATTCATAATTCTATCATTTTAAAATTTATTGTTAATGTTTAGTTTACTATCCATTAGAGTCAAAATGTGCATCACCATTGCAAATAACAACAAAATCTTTTAAAATTTCATGCTTAGGAGCGTCTGAGATGTTGATGGCTTGCACCGTTAGCGCACTAGCCTCAAGGACCCCTGGCAAGGAAGCAATTGCTATTGAATCTTATGCCAAGGCTCTCAGAATGGTTAATTATTTTATATTTCAATTTTTACTATGTACGTATATCTTTACAATTTTCATGAATTTGTCAGTTGAATTAACAAAATCGATAATACTGCTATCTATTTTATTTGTGAAATGAACTCAAGAAATTAATTACTAATTTTGAATTGAATTTACAACCCTAAACATTATACATTTATCAAATAAAAACCACTTTTATGAGTCAATATACCAGAGTTGCCCCAAGCTTTCATTTTCTCGTTAATGATTCAACTTAATGATTGAATTTATCCCAATTGATAGATATCTGCTGCTTCAACAGTCATACACTCTTGATAATACTTATAATGTCATTCATTTTTCGAGCCTAGCTTTTGAAATTATTTATAGACTCAGCAGTATTTTGAACTTCAGTTTGTGATATGAAAATAGCAGAAACTTATATTTAGAAACCATCAAAGTGCTTACAAAGGTAAATTCTCGTTTACAGCAAAAGTTTCAACTAATTAAAGCAATTAGGTTGTTGATTCATACCAGAAGCTTGACTCCCAAAAAGAAATATTTTTGTTAATAATTAATGAATCTAAGTTATTTTTAGTGGTTTTGGTCTTCCTCCAGCGGCTGCAAATCAAAATTAAAACAGCATATAATGTCATATTTTACATTTTTTATGTGGCAATTTGACGAATAAGGATATATATAACCCATATTTGATTTTATGCTCCATGAAAATGATGTACACCAGAGTTCTTTAAGTTGGACCCCCAAATAAAATACTTGTCTGCGTATCTATAACAAGTTGTCATTAATTTCAAATAAATTTGTTTTATTTCTTGTTTCTGTTTTAATTGTCGATTTTTTGATTTTATTTATCATTCAATTTGCATACAGCTTCCGACATATGTGGCAGATAATGGAGGATATGACAGTGCAGATTTGATAGCCAAACTGAGGGCTTATCACACAGAGGGGAAAAAATCGTATGGATTGGGTCTGTACAAGTTAACATGGAGATTCTATTTTATAATTCATTTAAAATTTTTTTGATTTATTATCTTTTCATTAATACAGCGAGCACCACCATTGAATTAAAGTTAATCACATTTGGCAAATTTAAACAATTACATCAAAAATCACTTGGTGAATTTTACGATAAACAGACATGAACAAAGGGGAAGTAGCAGACATGACAGAACTGGGTATCTTAGAATCCTACAAGGTGAAGCAGCAGATGTTGGTTAGTGGGGCAGAGGCAGCAGAAATGATTCTCAGAATTGACAGCATTCTCAAGAGCACACCCAGACAGAGGGCTCCTGATAGACGTCCGTGTTGATTCAAAAGCCACTGCAGTGGTTAGCTCTCGTCTTGTGTAGGTCTTGTGCTGACCACATGGACCTATTTTAACCTCTGGTTTTATGTTTTATTTATTCAACACTTTTTCTAGTGAAACATTTTTATAGTAACGTTTGTTATTCTATGTTAATTTTTTGGCACGTGTTTGTGCAAAAATTTTCTGTCAAGAAGTAGTCTATTGCTAGTTAATGTGCGAAACTTTAAAAACCAATAAAATGTAAGTTCTCAACGGAACTACTTTGTTCCACAGAAACAGAATGCAAATACGTATGGATGGACTGAGCACACTTAATATTTTTATAATCAATTAGATTGTGGGCTAAAGAACGTATATTATTCACCTACCTTAAAAGCATGAAATTTTTGTGTGTCTGTGTGTATGCATACACGACAAAGACTTGTTAAGTGTCACGGATTTTAGAAAAAGTAACACATCAAAAATATAATTTGACAATTGGAATAAAATTAATAGAATTTATAAAATAAATAATATGACCGTGTGAGGTTAACATGAAAAGCCGTAAGTTGTGACGAAGAGATGTGAAACGTGAAAATGCATCAATAAATGTACAATGTGCATTTGGAATGTGACTAAAATTGACCACTACTGTAGTTTATTCGACATTTTTTTCTCACTTCAGTTTCATCCTCGTTAACGGCATTCGGACATCTCGACTGGACACGGCGTGAATCCTCATGTATATTTTCTTGCACATGATTAACTTCTTTTTGCAATCGAACGCGGTTACTGCGTCTCAGGACTGGACACTTAACCATTAACCTATCACGCGTAGGTGAAAAATTGTACATGACAATGAACAAGCAATAAATTTTGTTGTTTGATAGGTAAATTAATGCCGGTAACCGTGCGTGACAAAAATTCAAAAATTCTTAAAAGCTATAATACAATTAATATGTTCAAAAGTATATGGCCACATTTATCTCTACATCGTCAGAACAAAGTTTGTTTGAATCTAAAACAGTGAAGTAAAAAAATATTAAATTATTTTTACATGAGACATCGAAATATTTATATCGAGATACAATATCGTGATCTAATAATTATCACCGAATAAACTTACAAAAACAAACGTTTTGTAAACTCTTAATTTAAATCTGATAGATCGTTAATCGACTACTGTGTAGTATGGCTGCTAAAGAAAATGGAATGAGATAAACTGTTCCAAAACAAGCATTGTACAGAACGAGTGTATGGATTTCCTATGAACTCGCAACAAATGATGAGATCACCCCCACTTTTATTATTAAATAGAATGTAAACAGTAACGTCAGAGGGTAGTAATAATTATTCAACAAGACTGTAGATGTATTCCCTCAATGGTTGTGGCAGTGGCAGTGTGCTGGCATGCTGATCCACCTTCCAGTTAATGGCATTGCAGATTGAAATCCGACAAAGCTGCTTCAGTTTTCTAGGTTCAGAACTGAGTGCTCGAATTCTGGCTTGCACTTGCGTATTTCTTGGCCCTTGTTCAAACTCGTGGTCTAGATTAGAGCATATTCCATCAACAAAGCGTGTAAGATGCGCTTGACACAACGTAGCACAAAACACGTCGAGAATTTCAAACGCAGTTATATTATTGTGGCGGGCATGAATGTACAACCCTCGTGATAAATAGTAACTGACTGTGTACTTGGGTGGAAAGTTGTGCTGTGGCCGTTGTGCCGAGTCATTACCAGATGATGACACGTTGTGTCTGGAATTTGAGTGACGTGAGGTAGATGACGACGATACATTTTGACGTTGTGCAAATGTCGACAGAGTGACTTGTCGATGCACCATCATCGGTGTTGAAGATGCGGCCGACGTCGAAGCGCCGTTATTTGTGCTTTGCAGCTCCTCCGGATTTATCAAATTTGGGTTGCCTTTGAATTTAAACATTTATAAAAATGTTCACAGCAAACACATTTTTAAGAACGCATGAAACATAAAAGAGCAATGTTCTGACGAAGGGAATGATTTACATATCGCTAAACCAATATATTAAGTCGAGGATATTTAAAAATAAAACAAACCTCCAGCTCTTATAATGGTCCGAATGAGCAAATTCAAATAATGGATAAATGAAGGTTCCAGTATAGCTGAATTAAATATGATGACTAGCTGTTTCAAGTTTTTACGAAGTACTATTTGTGGATCTAAACCATATTTGAAGAATGTGTCTGTCAAGTAAGTAATTTGTTTTGTTAGCTTATCGTCAACATTTTAAAATTTATTTTTTTAAAACTATTTTTGAAAAAGTATAATGTACGTTTTGATATATAATTTTTTCTATTTTGTCAAATTCATACCTATAACAAATCTGGTACGGATTGAATTATCTGTTCACACCAATAAACAAAATTTATTAATAAACCAAAAGATGGAAAATTCATAAACCTCTTTAAACATTACTGTTGAGATAACAATGCAAGGATTTAAAATGAACAGACAAAATAATTCTGATTTATTTGGAATATTCAAACTTAGTTTTCATGATTTTTGAATGCTTAATTCAGAAGATTCAATCCCTTTTATTACACAATGAAAATTCAATGAAAGTAAGCGAACATTTCAGAAAAAGCTCAATTAAATCCTGTTGCCCTTTCATATTTATTCTTCTAAAACTCTTTCATAACTTTATAGTCTGTATGGAATTTGCACTTTTAACAATTTGAATTATCTAACCTTCAACATTCTTTGTAAAAACTTTATTTTTAAGATGCTTGTCATGACATTTCATTATATAATTGTCTTTTTTGATAAAAGTAACAATGCAGAAAACTGAAAAAATAATTAAAATCAACCTACGTTTTAATTTTGTTTACAATTTACTTACACCTATTCTGCCAACCGAAGTAACTCTAAAACAATTGTACAAAAACATGTTTTACACAGCAACAGAGAAAAAAACAAGCCCATTTTAATCTATAAATCATAAAACCCAAAAAAATAATAATGTTATAAATAATTTTATATCATTTTCCTACCTAGAAGACCCTTGGTGAAACCAAGTAGGACACCTAATCTGTCATTGTCATCAACTGCATTGTACAGCCATCTATTCAACGAATTCAAAAGTAAAGTTATCGGATTTTCTCCAACTGCATTTATAACATTTGGATCAGCTCCATAGAAACAGAGAGTGTCAACAATTTCTTTTACCTTATAATCAATAATTTGAAAATATAGCTTATTAATCATCAATTTTAGTAAATATATTCAAAAATGTACTTTATAACCATGTTTTTACATTATTCATTGTTTGACATTATCAATAGTAAATCAGATTATAGTGATTTTAATTGGTTGATAAGCTTACCTGATGCTGTTAACAACTTATAGCACATTTTTACAAATGGGAATTTTTATCTAAGTTTATTTAAAAGAAATGAGCAATAAATTAAATTGGTTGATAAATACTTCAGTTGCAGTGGCACTGAGTAACGGAGGCGACATAGCACATATGACACGCATCAAGTAGTAGAGAGGAGAAACAACATTCGGAGGTGCCATCAAGTTGGGGTTAGCTCCCATGTCCAGAAGATCAGTCAGCATGGCTATCATGCTATTCAATAGACCATTTAGATAAACTGGAGCCACTCCAAACCTATCCCTCATGTAGAACAATGGCCTGCTACTGTGGTGAGTCAACAAACTATGCAAAGCTCCTTCACCTTTTTTATTTGTTTGGTTAGGATCACATCCATGTTCTACCAGGAGTCTAGCACAATTGCGAACCTTTTAAACGTTATAGTTCATACTGAATATTTTTCATAATAACTTTGTAAACTATGATGATCCAACCTCTGTGATGTAAAGATCTCTTTCCCTTGGAGTTGCGCTTCCGTAATGCTTGAATAACTTATTTAGCAAAGTATCGCCATCACTCTGAAAGTTCAATACAACAATTGAATAATTAACTTAATTTATTACACAAACTATTAATTTGGCAGAAGATTGTGTTGAAATAACATAAAAAAAAATTATTTTTTTGACCTAGTAACAGAAATATCACATTAGCACAAAACATACACCCGATTATAAAAGAGGAACTTTGTTGATTAAATTATTATATAATTCTATAATTAGCAGAATAAAATGAAGAGAAGCATGAGAAAGAGCAAAAACAATGTTTTGACCTGAGAATGTCAAATTGTACAAAAACTTAAGCAACTGAAAATAGCTATTCTAACAAAAAGAAATTATAGCCAATGTCAATCACTCAAATTGATACAGTCCTTTTTCAAATAAAAAACAGGCTCAAAACTAACAAAAACAGCTAATACTAATAAAATCAATCAAATCACAAATCAACAAAATAAAGCCAGTAGACCTCAGCTTCATCTCTTCACATTCAGAAAAGCATTGAAGAAACTTTAAACATCAGTCAAAATTATTAAGCAAATTTTATTTAAAAGAATATCTTTGACAATAAAGTGATGAGGTGAGTAGAGAATAAGTGAATTTGAACGTGTAAAATGACTGAATGAAGAAATGTAGTGAATAATGAGGCTAAAAAAACCTAAAACTCTGCTTAGCCCACGCAAGAAAAGGAAGGTAACAAGGAGTGCCAAGTTACTGGTACAAAACAAAAAGAAGACCTTACTATAGTGAAAAAGAAAATATATCAAGATGTGCAAAGCTGTAAATTTTACCAGATTTATTCTAAGTAAAAAATTCTTTCTCTGGTTTCGGACTTTTGTGAATACAAACTCTGATGTCAAAAATGGACATCAGAGTTTTGAATTAAAACAGAGTTACAATTGAAAACACTAGATTTGATTGAAAATAAAGAGCACTAATTAAATTAATGAATACCTTAGTAACCATCATGCCCAAATCTTCAGGTCCTTTATCCAGCATTAGTTGAGTTAGACGAAACATACAACTGGTGTCATCAGAAATATAAATCTGATGTAAAAGAGTGCCTGCTTCCGTTTCAAAAATTTCCTCATCAAAGTAGGCACTACTTTCCAGCAAGATAACAGCACATTCGCGATTTTTGTGGCCTTGAAGTGCATGTTGAAGTGGGGTGAGACCTTTTCGATCCCTCACGTTTACCTAATTAGTTGAAAATATAAAAAATGTATTTGTTAGTTATGTTATAATTTGATGACATCCCAATAAACTCCATCAGAATTTTGTCACTTGTCATAGAAAATCATGCAAATTAAATTAAAGTTCATACAAATAAAATCAAATTGAAAAGCAAATTAGCACACACCACCTGCTCTGGAAGAGTATCTACTAGCAGCTTAAGACATTTCTTAGCTCGAAACTTGCATGCTTCATGCAACAAAAACTCCTTTTTTATTAGCTCTTTTGAGCATCGATGATTCAACAAAACACTCACAACTTCATGACGATCACTAGGAAATGCATATGAGATCGGAAAGGATGGATTCTTAGTAGTCACCTAAAGTGGTATTATATTATTTAATAGTTAATTGTAACATTAGTTTAAATCATAATACAAATAATATTCAAATATTTTTGAGCTTTTGGTTTGAAAAAAACAGTGATCAACTACAAAAAATAACAAATGAACTAACTTTGCACTGAAACTTAGCTACAGATTTACCAGATCCAGCAGCAGATTTCAAGTGATTAACAGGGTAGCATACCCTTTTTGCAATGTCTGCTCTTGCCCCATTATCCAACAGCATCTGAACAATAGCCGCATGTCCACATTTAGTAGCAAGATGAAGAGGAAGTGTACAGGCTCCAGAGTTCAAATCACACCCTCTGGTTATAATAATCTGTACTACCTAACATTATAATTAAAAATGTAAAATTAATTAATTATATAATTAATTATAATCAAATAAAATCGCATTTTTATGAAATATTTCAAATGAGCCATTCAATTTACATTTTAAATTGTCTAAGACTTCAAAATATCTTTAAGTTACCTGTGGCAGGTTACAAATGATGGCTCTTTGCAAAACATTCCATCCATTTTCATCTAGTACATCCAAAATATTATCTGATTTGGGACATCTATTTATCAAAGTTTGTACATGTTG